GGGATCCGCTAGCCCATCTGCGGCCCGGGACCAGCTCCGGAAGGCGTCAGGAGGAAGAGGGAGGGAGATCAGCTCCTTGCTGATCTCCCTCTGTAGTGGGAATGCAGAAGTGATGTGTATTACATCACTTCCGCATTCACCTGTCAGATCTCTGCTTCATCAGCTTCTTTTTGGGGTCCTCAGGTGACATTAGGGGTCCGAGAGACCCCTAATGTCTCCATAAAGAGTACCTGTGCTATTATATAGGGGGGATTGTATCCCTCTATGTAATAGCAATAACAATAAGTGTAAAAAAAATATATATAGAAATTAAAAAAGTAAAAAAAATAAAAGTCACAAATAAAAAAAATAAAAGTCACAAATAAAAAAGGTAAACCCCCCCCAAAATGTTTAAGTCCCCCCACTTCTTTTACGCACATATAAACGTAAATATGCGTCAGATGCGTCAGCGCGTGAAAATTACAATTGAGCTACACATGTTACATATCGCCGCGAACGTCAGAGTGAGAGCAATTTTAAGGCTTGACATGTTTGGTGTCTTGTTACCCGACGTGACCCTGTCTTTTATATTTTACCAAAAAATTGGGTAATAAATGTTTTAGAATTTAATATAGGGGAAACAGTTTAAAAAAAAAAGTTTCTGTAATTTTTCCTTAATATATTAAAAAATAAAAAAACGCAGTGGTGATTAAATACCACCAAAATAAAGCTCAATCTGTCCCCAAAAAAGGGTATAAAATTAATTTCAGTACAGCGTTGCATGACGGAATAAATGTCAGTCAAAGTACCGCAGCGCTGAATACTGAAAAATGGCCTGGAAGGGGGTCTAACACCCCGGACTTCAAATGGTTAAACTATTTCTCTAAAAACGCATGACTTAAAATTTTGCAACTGCTGCCATTTTATCCTCCAGGGTCTCTGCTTTCAGAAATTATATAATTTGGGGGAGCTTTAAGCAATTTTGAGGCTTTTCATTCATTGTTTTAATAGTTTTAATTATTTTATTTAGCACTTTAAATTGTACTAAATGTTTAGAAAATGAAAATATGCAGAATGTTAATAATCACATCTATCTTGATAAGCTCCATGAAGAAGTCCAAAAGATTTCCAGGCTAAATAGACAAGTAGGTAAGGATGTGTGAGTAAAAATAGACTAGAAGGTTTGCTCATTTACCTGTTTGGTTGGAGATCTCTCCCGGAGGACATGGGACACAGTCATGGCAGCAGACAGGTTGTCCACTTTTGGCAACCTTACGAAATCCTGGAGGACAACTCTCACTGCAGACTGATCTCTAGGATAAGAATATCAATAAAATCAACACTGTTAGATAAAGCCAACTGACTTACATAACTATTTCATATATTCAACTCAGGAGTAATGCCTTTGGGCCATGCTAGGAATTAGGGCAAGTTACTCTAAGGTAAAGGAAGTAGTGAGTGTGCTGAGATTTATACAGATGAGAGGCCCTTATCTTCTCCATTATCTTTGTGAGGGATTAAAGGAGAACTATGGTGTTAGGGCTGTTCCCCATGGTTCTCCTTGAGGTAACGGGAGGACACAAACTAGCGTCCTCCCGTCACCCTAAGCTCAGTATACCGGAAGCTACAGCTAGCGGTATACTGAGATCCCGCAGCTGAAAAGGATCCCGACAGTTATGTCTGGATCCACCCAGCTGCGTGACTGACAGCTGGCTCTGCCTATCTAGAGGCGGAGCCAGCTGTACCCGCCCCCTCCCCCTCCTGTTCCGCCAGTCAACGCTGGCGGATCGGAGCGGGGAGGGGGAAATCCAGCCCCTCCAATGTCACGGCAGAGAGCCGTGACAGGTTTGAGAAGTGAGCCAACGCCGGTATGTGTTTCCTCACTTCCCGATCTACTGAGCCGACCTGTGACAGTCTCATTGTTACAGGTCAGCTAGAACTATGAGGTGAGTGTAAAGCACTCACCTCATAGTTCTCCTTTTAAAGAGAAAGAAAAAGACACAGGAGAAGCTAAAAGGGCACCAAATTATAAACGTGTGCTTAAAGTAATCTGCTTTGAAAAGTAGGTATGGTTTCTGTGAAGTGTACATGCCCGAACCAGTGTGGTTTAGTCTAAATGGGCTTGGGGGAAAAACAAGCTTTCATTAACATTCCATAACCAATTTTTTTCCTGAGGTTAATAATTGTTGACTTTCTTTCGATGTAAGTAACTGTGCATACTGCAGCTCGTTGTGACTGGGGGGTTCAGGAGGGACTGGGAAAGAAAGGGAGTCTTAGGCCCCACTACCAGTATATGTCTACTGGACATCTGTGGTGTCACCTGGAGTGTTCTCTCAGTGCCCCATGAGGCCAGTCACATGACTTTTATGAATGGACAAGGGTCTCCTCCATTTTTTGTGTATAAATATCAGGACTGTGCGGACAAACATATACATATTTTGGAAGGTAAAACAGCTCTCATATACAGTATGTACCCAACTGTGTATTTGGCTGTTTGCCTGGAGTTCAGCTGGAGACCTGATTTTATTCTGCTGCAGGCAGCATCTCATTGGGGGGCGACTAACAGCACCCCATCCTCCCTTTCATTGACAGCTCAGCCCCCACCATCTCCTGCTCAGCCACCTCCCTCTCTGCCAGCTGACAGCTCAGCCGCCCTCCTTCTCCTGCCCCTTGCCGTGTTGACAGCTTGGCCCCCTTCTCCTGGCCATCTAAGGTGATGAAACATGTAGGGACTGCCCTGCTTACACTGCTTGCATACATTTTTTTAAATTATGTATAAATGACTAAAGAGTTCAACTTTAACCATTCCCAGTGCCAAGAAAGAGGTGCCCTGCATAAGTTTAAAAGGCCGGCCTTTAGATATGTAAAAGAGAACAAAGGGTATGGTATGTTTCTAGTCATATTTTTGATTCACACCTGGTGATCTTCTATTGACCACACGATGGCACTTATGTTTATGGTAAAAATTTCTGCCGGAGGTGCTGCGGTGTCATAACTTCCAACCTTGACTTGCTGTAATCCTCCTTCTGGGCTCAGCTGCCAGTTCACAATGTCATACGCGGCAGGAGGGTCTCCGTTTTCATCAAAATAGAGTTCTCTTCCATTACTCCGCTTGAATCTCACTTTTTTCATATAGTACAGAAGCTGTAACATGGTAGGGTGGAAAGAGAAATAAAAAATATATAAGCCACATTAATGGTCAGTCCAGCTGTTTCAGTTTTTAGTTATACCAACCACAACATTGTTTTATCTCCATTAGACCTGCATACTAGTTGTGGCTTTTATGGATGAGGTTACAGAGGAGCTGGAACACACAAAGTTCTTAGCTGGACAGGAACAGAGTCAGGAATTATGGAAGGTAGATCTCCCTGTAGGAATCAGAGCCGTAGCTACCTCCTTTTGCGCCTGAGGCAAGAACACAAAATTGTGCCCCCCAACAGACATGTTATGTCACCCATCACCGCGCATGCACGGCGTCATGTGACGTAATGCGCCCCCGCCTCCAGGATGGCGGCACGCATGTGCAGAGTGCGCTCGTGGCCAAATCCAAAATAGCACTAAAATTTGTTTCGTTTGACGAAACTAATGTATACAGGCGAGGGAGAGCAGCGGGGATCCGAGGAGAAGCTGGAGCCTGTGCCGCTCCTCTTCTCCCTGCCGAGCCGGGGCTGTGTTGGCCGCTTGGCAGGCCCTGGCTACGCCCCCTCTCAGCTGCGTCTGATTCGAGTGCCACACTCACCCCATGGTAGCTACAGCCCTGGCAGGAATATACAAGACAAGGAGCTGGGTCTGACTCCAACCTTAGGTAAATACCACTTTTCAGTGGACTTCTGTTTGGAAATAAAATATATATTATTATTGTCCTAATATGTACAGTGTTCATTTGCTATGTTAGAAGAGATAAAGGTTTGTTGACATCTATCCAAGACCTAAATGATGTTCTAAATATCTCTATTAAATCCTTCCAGTAATTCATCTGTGTGGCCAATCCTACATTTGTTAAATAATGATACATTTGAGTTTTGAGAGATTTTACCAGATCTTTATACATTTGCAGAGCTCATAAATACCCTCATACACAACAATCCTTCTGATAATTGCCAGATACCTGGTCCAGATTGATGGGTTCTTCTCTGAGGTCTCTCTTTCTGTGGTTAGCTTTTTTTTTCTCCCAGCTCTGTCCTCCACAGATTTTTTTTTTTTTTTTGTAAATGTAGTAAAACAAAGAAATACTGATCTAGACAACAAATACAAAAAATAGATAAAACAATACCTGCCAAGGTTGAAAATTCCACTTATCTGCACAGTTTGCATCAGCAAATGGTCCTTTTCCCTCAGGGCAATTTATAAGATCTTCCAAAGCTTTGGCCACTACATGGACTGCAGTGTAGAAATTATAGGGGGACCTTAGTGTAGAGACATCTGTGTAGCTGTTGTGTATCTCTTCTAGTTTTTCAGACCCTGTGCACTCTCCTTCTGAGGTCTTCAAAGGTGACGTGAAGTTTAGGTCATGGGTAAATTTGCATTGAAATGTGCTTTCCCAAAGTATCTTAATCCAGTCTCTACCGACAGACATGGAAGGATTGATCTTCTTGAGAAACTCTTTGAAGTTTGGCAGCGTCCCACTGGAAAATGCTAGCCCGATAGAGCCGGTAAGAAGGCTTGAATATTTCTGAAGGGAAAACAGCTTGGATGTTGACCATGCTTCACTGGCAATTAGTATCTTCTTGGAAACGTTTTGTCGTGACCATTCACTCAAGACTAGGATCAGATCAGCTTCCATACAGAAGGCCACCACAACTTTGGCAGTAGACCTTTTAATCACATTCACTATATGTGGAGCATTACGGTCTGGTTGGTTCATTAGAATGTTTTCACTGAACGCCACACAAGCTCCAGCCTTGACTATATCTTGACCGATCAGTTGGATTCCTTGTTGGCCATAGTCATCATCTGCAGCAATAAGTCCAACCCATGACCAACCAAAATACAATACCAGCTGGGCAAGTCCATGAGACTGGAACACATCGCTTGGCACTGTTCTAAAAAAGGAAGGGAATCGTCTCCGATTGCTTAGTAGAGGGCTGGTTGACCACTGGCTTATCTGCAAGTAAAGATTACTTTGGCATAATAGTCACAGTGAGAACAAAATTATGGTAATATGCAGACTTATTTTTAAAGCTCAATGCCAGCTGATTTTTTTCGTTCAAATCTAATGTCCCCACCACAGCCATTAAGCACGCAATCTAATCACTTTCACTTATCAATTGATCAATTGACCCTAATGCACTGTATGCTTTATTTATATGCTCACCTTTTTCAAATGTCTACAGGCCAGTAATATGGTGTGCAGGGTCCTTTTACTCTGGATCTTCCTCCAGTATTGGGCTCTGCATTATTACACTATGGTTGCATGGTACTGTGGTGACACCCACGCAGGGACCGTGTCTGTGACACTCTTCATTTACAGTATGTCCTCAGTCTTCTACATTGAATAATGCTAGGTGAGGACATCTAGCGGCTCAGATGAATTACTGCAGCTCCCGGGAGGTGAGCATTAAACTCAGAGATGCGTTCTTATATGTATACTGGCAGGGGGAACCTTTTTTAATGGAGTTGAGCTTTAATTTTTCAGGTTTTTTTTAATATGTCAATCAAGTTTATGAATGACCCACCCACTGGACTTCACTGCGATTGCAAACCAAAAAAACCCTCTTTTGCACATACAGGGTTGGTAGTTGTAAACGCCAACTGAAATAGCTTAATTGGATATGTAAGGCAGTAACTGTACTGACTTCAAGCAGGAAAGTCATTTTTGGGTGAGATGCATTTTTAAAGGGCAGGTATGTAAGTGAATGCCGTTTTGTTGGTGGGAGAGGGCCTCCTGACCCACTGATATATACCTTGCCAGCACACCCCAGCCACTCCTTCCTCTATCACAGCTTGTGACAATGCCTGGTGCTTCTGGGTATAGGAGAGCATGTGTCCTCTGCTCATGTGACAGTTTTTAGTTCTAGCATCCAATTGCCAGGTCCCAGTACTGTCACATGACAAAGGGAGTGACATTACTGCTTGGAGCTAGTCTTTCAATCAAGGTCACACTAAAACATATGCAACCCTTTTCTATGTGGTTTTATAGGCCATGTTTTCATTACTTTTCTATAGAAAGCACAACCCCAACCAAAACTTTTTGTGTTGTCCAGACTCAGATTCAGTAAATGAAACATTTACCTGTGGAAATCTGCTGAGACCTAGAATATGAGCTATTGTCATTGAGTGTGTTGAGATTGAGGTACCTAGGACAGCAGTGAGAGGAGAATCTTTAAAACATCGATAATTGGGAACAGCCGTATTGAGTCCTGTTAATATTTGTAGCGTTGCCTTCACATTTGGCTGAAGGATGTTACATGAATCATAGGCTTGGAGACCCAGGGTTACATTCGGTAAGATGTTGGGATTATTGTTGATCTCCTCAATGGCAAACATTGTAGCCTGGAGTGCCTGAAAGCTTTCAAAGTAGAACCTTTATGACAAGAAAAATTGTTAAAAACAATGCATTAAACCATGAAGGAGATCAGAGAAACATCCAAATATTGGTTAATTTTTCAATCCTGCAGTCTCTTGGTTAAAAAGATATAACAAAGCAAGGCCTGCAAAAGAAAAGGCTTCACACTCCCTTATCCCACCACCGGTTTCTCCAATTTTCAATAAATCAGTCAAGCAATAGAAATGTAAGCTAATGCAATTTTCTGGTTGGAAATTATATGTCTCAATGATATTCCCCTTGCTAGCGTACCCCTGACACTCTATTCTTCTGTCACAGTTGGCAACAATACCTGGTGTGGTGAACAGCTCTGTCAATAGAAACTATAGAAAGGGTTTTGCTTAGATTAGCAATTCCTGGTAACATATTATTAGGCTCTCTGTTTAAAGTGATTCTGTCATGAAAAGTAAATCCTCTTGATGTCCATGCTGCTGAATGCTGAGTTCAACTGAGTTCCTATTGAGAAGGAACATTTTTCTGAAGTTTGTGCAGAAACCAACACTTCTTAACTTATCAATCTTCTGTACTGAATGGTTCCTCCCCATGACCCTCACAACACTACAGTACACAGTTGTAACATGGAGGTCGGTGGAATGGCAGGGGGGGGGGAGGAGCCTACCACTCCCTGAAGTGTTGGTTTCTGCTCACACATAGAGTGCAAGCTCTCTTTTCCAGAGCGGTGCTCAGCAGTGCAGACACCGCAAGATGTGAGTTTTTACACTTTTTCTGTGTCTGGGATATCTTTAAATGGAGTTTAATTTTCATGAGTAGGTCACCTTAAACACAACAATTTTGCTAAAGTTGGAAATATCACCATGATCTAAGTTCTATCTAATCACCTGATGGTTGAGCACACAGCTCTACAGAGGGTCAGAAGGAGAGCAATAGGAGTGTATTCAACAGGATTGTACTTTTTCTGCTTCACCAATCACAAATGAAACTTCCAAGGCATGTTTTAAACCTGATTTTTGGCCATGCGAAAATTCTATACCAAGAGGTAGCTTGAAAGGTGTGCCAGCATCAGGTCAGGTCATCAACATCAGCAGGTGTGTTCCAGGATCACCAGGTTACCTGAAAACGGAGTAGGGTGGTCTGTGCAGTACTCTATTGAAGCTGGGGGATGGGGGGCATGTGCCACGGGTTCCACTTGAGGAGGGGTGCCACTGGGTGTGCGGATGCCCCGGGTGACAGAATGTTTAGCATCCCCATTGCCTATGAATTATGAATCCAAAGGGTATTTTTACATATTTTTTATTCCTTTCTATTTAGTTTCAATTTTAGAAGTGCAAACAGAGTAATTGGGGCATTCTTCTGACTCAAGAAGTGTCAAAAAAAGGTTTAACAAAACAACAGCAGTAAAACTGGTGGGTTGGTTACACTCAAATGTTCTAAATTTACAACAAGAGAAAAATGTTGGATCGAGGAGTGGAGGATGTTTCAATCAATCATTGAGCAACTGCTCCATGTTATCTGCCTGTGACAGCCCTGTATGGTAATCCAAAACCTTGATCGGTCAACCCACTACAGAAGCATTATGCATGATGTGGTGTATTGGTGATGACACCTTAAGAGGTGTCATCACCAATACACCACACCATGCATAATGCTTCTCCAGTGGGTCAAGCAGGGCCGGAGTGGATCTATTGCCATCAAGGGGGTGTCCACAAGGGCAGTGGAAAAAGGAATGGCCCTCATAGTAAAGGTGACTTGCTAAGCGAAGCATTACATACCTTAGTGAATTTATGTAAGCAACCCCTGAATTCAAATGTGGCTTTGTACAGAGACACAGCTCTGTTTATTATGGACCTCCAAAAGTTCAATGAAGGGGCTACTGAGTTCTTACAGTAAATAAAGGGGTACTATTTTTTAATTATATTCGCTCTTAAAAAATGCTTTTACTCACGTTGTACAGGTTGTCTTTGGAGGACGTTCTGTGAAAGAAACTTTGTGGTAAATTTTGTCCAGGTGGAGCGCGAATAATGAACCTATTAGAAAATCCCCTGGTAGGGTCATGCCCTTGAGGTTTGGGGTATCCAGTTGGCACCTCAAGTCAGCTGAAGCATTGGAGTGAAAAGCCAGAAAGCAAGGCAAGCCAAAAATCCAGGCTGGTGTGCATAGACTCACCATCTTGCTTTTATCAACTCGGCACGTAGGTGTGAGCATACTAGAGTCTTGTTGTATAGTAAGTCTTCTTTGAGAATTTCTTTTCTGACAATTATCAGGAAACATTACAATTAATTTTCAAAATGTAGTCATTGATAAGGCAATGCAAAGTGCAAAAGCTTTCTGCAAAGTGCAACGGCCTTTGGTAACTAATTCAATCTCAGCTTTCTTCTATTCGTATGGATCCTAATTGGTTGCAATAGCTTGCTGAACTTAGCACAAAGCTCTTACACTTGGCACTGCCTTGTTAATTAACTATGTTCACATTTTTATTTTCATTGCATATTCTTTGGAGATAAGACAGTGAATCTGAGGCCGACAATCTAGGCTGGATTGTGCAATACAAACTTGACAGAGATGAACAAATAAATCTAAATTTCAGATATGTAGAGTAGTTGTGGGTAGACTTGTGTGCCGTCAAAAAATTTGTTCCGATTCGTTTCGTTCCATTTCGGAATATCCATTATTTCGTATTTCGTAATTCGTATCCGAAACTCATTTCGGATTAGTACGAAATACGAATTTTCGTTAGTTTCGGCACATTTTCGTAACTGTACGAACATTCGTTATGATGAAGTTAAAATGCAAAAATACCTTTGTTAATATTGGAGTCGATGTGGTAGTTGTTTTTTTATCTGAAATACAAATTCCGTTAACGGATTCCGTATCCGAATTTCGTATTTCGGATAAAAAAAAACTACCATCAACTCCAATATAAATGTACTTTGCTTTTTAACTTCAATATAACGAAAGTTTGTAACGGAATTTCGTATTTCGGATATAATTCAGAAACTGCAATTCAGATTTCGTATGCTTCCGAATTTCAGGAAAATTCGTACGAATTTCGATTCGTAACGAAACGAATCGCACATGTCTAGTTGTGGGTAAAAGTTGTCCAGAGAGCCCTGAAATGGCTTTACTGTCAATGTTCCTGGGCCCTATTGAAAAGATAAAGCACGGCTTGGTGTGAATTATTTTCTCAGCGGGTTGCACTTTCATACCTAGGTTCTGGAAGACAACTGTTGTGCCCCAGGTTGAAGACTGTATTGCCGAAATTGGATATATCATGTGGATGGAGGAAATCTTAACCAGACAGGAAAACAGATACTCGATAGTTATGGGTACCTGGAGTGCCTGGATAGAATTGTTAGAGTGACCTAATATTAATATTAATTTGGGCTCATCTAGATAAAAATAAGACAACTAGGGGACATAGAGTTTTGAATGGAGAGCCCTGACCATATCTGCCTAATGTGGGTACCTGTTCCTTTCCCTGTTTTGGATTTTTCTTTCTCCTTGGTCTATCTGTCTTTTGTCTATGAGATTTAGAATGTGTGATGAACAGGTCAGTTAGCTGGGTTTAGGAGTATTAATAGATGTTAGGTGTTCGGGAAGGCTAATACATTTATTGACTCAGTAGTCAGTGGGGACAATCTAAGAAATGAAAGGGGAGCTATTGAGGTCAGTGTGCGTATGTTCACTGAATAATATGGCCAGTTAGAAGGCTGTAAATATTGTTTGTTGTGTTACAGATGATGTAATGAGATACAGGCAGGCCTGTGGAGATACCCTGACCATAATACTAATCCCCAAACATTGTGCTCTCCCTTAAACTGACGCTAAACTTTAAATCTTAAAGATGCAATCACTTGGTTGTAGATCCTCAAATCATATCTGAATTGGTGCTGACACTGTCCTTCCTTCTGGAGGGGGGCTACTTTTGTTCCCCATGGTCCCTGTGTGTGTTATAAAGTAGCCACCACTCCAAGCTCGCCCCAGTGATGGACTGCAATCTCATGTATAGTTTACTAATCTGTATTGAGATTGTAGTCCATCACAGGAGTGAACTCGGAGTGGTGACTCCTTTACAACACACACAGGGACCATGAGGAACAAAAGTAGCCCCCCTCCACAAGAAAGGACAGTGTCAGGATCAATTCAGAGATGATTGGAGGATCTACAGCTGAGTGATACACAAATAAGAGACATTGTTGTTCATAGTTATGGTACTTGAATGTATTTTTAAGATTTAACTCCTGAGTTTAGTGTCACTTTAAGTATGTCCTGAAATTGATTTGGTTGCCGTAAAGTTTTATGTGATTTTCTGTTTATCAAACTAATAAAATGGATTAATTAGAAATAAATCTAAAACACTCACTATGAGCTGGTATTAAATATATCTATATCTGGTATTAAATATATCTAGGGTATTCGTTTATTTCCTTTTGCTAGTTATAATATCATAAACACATATGTTGCCCACCCCTGTATGCTGTATGGCACTACATTGAATGTATGGGTTGATCTATGCATTTACAGTATAACACTCCATCCACACCCATCCAAATCGCCTCAGACCAACTCAGATGGGTGCTTCCTTCCACGTCAGTAATGGGGGAAAAGCTCAGCTGTAGGGAGAGCATAGGCAATAATGGGGACAAGTCCATTGCCCTCTGCATGTCTTTTTAGGGCACAGCTTCCAGAGTTCATTTCCTCTATAATAATTCTTTAGATTCACTCTGACAATTCTATAAGTTTGACAATTACTCAGGTACATTCACCGCTGTTCTAGTAAAGCTCATCATCCTAAATTCTAACACTTCTGAATTAGAAGATGATCTCCTTACCTTTCCTCTGCTGTGCTAAATGTATGCAGATAATTGTTTGCTACTTTTAGAAGATATCTGTCATTTCTTTTCTTGTCCTTGGAGGATGTTGAATGATTATCAACACATAATGGATATTTTGTATTCTATATTTCTAAAGCAAACGTGAAGTAAAAGTAAAAAGATTGTCTTCATCTATCGTTCCAGCAGTCATGGTTTTCAGAGACATTCACCTAATTGCTTCATAAATGATCACAATTACCTCCATCACAGTCTGTATGCTAGAAAAATAAATACATACATGCTTGTGAAAGTGAGACTAGATATCCGATGAAGCATGAAATTAGTAATTGTTTTCTTTAAATTGCTCAGAAGAACGTGGCAGAGTAGGACAGAACAAGGCTCGGTGATCATAAGTCTTGTATGTGTCTTGTTGTCCTATTTATAGAGGCCGGTGATTTTATTTTAAGTGCTTGCCTAGTAACCCGTTATCTTCTGTAATGTTTGTGCTACATGACACGGACTGCTCCTTATATAAAGGTTTAGCCAAAATTGCTTCTCCCTCTTGGAGAATAATTCTCTTGGTGCATCTGGGGCTAACATTTCCCTGGAGGACAACTATAATCTGTAATTGTGATACAAGGTTTTCTGGCTGTACGCTCTTAAGCAATTTCAAATAGATAGATAGATAGATAGATAGATAATAGATAGATAGATATTTAGATAGATAGATAGATAGATAGATAGATAGATAGATGATAGATAGATAGATAGATAGATAGATAGATAGATAGATAGATAGATTGATAGATAGATGATAGATAGATAGATAGATAGATAGATAGATAGATAGATAGATAGATAGATACATTCTCTCCAGTGTTCTACCAGGTAAATTCTGACTCTTTTGGAAATGTATTGCAAAGTAGCGTAGTACATGAGAAACAACAAGAAACATGCTTACAAAAAGAAATGTTGGTGTTTTATCTTCATGTCCTTCTATCGGTTCATGTTGTGATCCCTATCACAGCAGCACCATATTAAAGGATGTGGTTGAGCATGGTGACTGGGCACATGAAACTGTCGGTGAAAGTACACATGAGATGAGAGGAGTCTGACATCCCTAAGGAAGATGTGAGAGGTCTCACATTTCTAAAGGAAGATGAAAGTAGTCTGACATCTCTGAGGTGTATGAAAGTAACCTAAAACCCCTACTAACACGAGAGTGGTCTGACATCCCTGAGGAACATGAGTGGGATCTGACATATTTGATGAAGATGAGAGTGACCTGATATCCCTGAGGAAGATGAGAGGGGTCTGAAATCCCTGAGGGGGATGAGAGGGGTCTGACATATTTGAGGAACATGAGAGGGATCTGACATACTCCCTGGAAACGTTCCTGTAGTCAGTTCTCTATCCATGTACACACCATGTCATCTATGCCCATAGACCTTAGCTTGTGTATTAGGCATTTATGTGGTACTGTGTCAAGTGCCGTTGCAAAATGCAGATATTCCACATCCACAGGGCCTTCTGCCATCCAGATCTCTACTCACCTCTTCATAGAATGTTAGTAAATTGGTCACATTTTTGGCCACATTTTATTGAAAAAAATGACATAACATTGCATTCCAAATGTATATTTATCTATTATTTATTAAACAAATATCAATGAATCAATTTCAACCTAAAAATCATCTTTAACCTAAATAAAAGCTAAGACCTAAAGGTTTTAACTCAATTTAGTGTGCTGAAGACATAAAACACATTGAGCACCTAATACACTATTTTTTATAAATATAATTTCTCATGAGAAATTCTTTAGTGTTCATGTCAGGCCTGAACAAGATGATGAAACATTTTGGGAAAAACATACAGGTGATGAGAGCCCAACTGGAGGCCAAGATGGCAAAGATCTCCATAGCCACTGTATATTTGCCCTCAGCACTGAGGGATGCTGGAATGTAGGATATCCAGACACTGAGAAAAGCCAACATGCTGAAGGTAATAAACTGGGCCTCGTTAAAGCTGTCAGGAAGTCTCCGAGCTAGGAAGGCCACAATAAAACTAATGGAAGCCAGAAGAAAGAGGTAACCCAACATGGTCCAGAAGGCAACGGGTGATCCTTCATTACATTCAACAATAATTATTCCGGGTTTAGCTTGTGTGTTGTATTCCGGGAAGGGAGGAGCAATACACAACCAGACTATGCACAAAACAAGTTGCAAAAACGAGCTCACTGTGATGACCATGTAGGACACTTTTGGGTGTGCCCATTTCCTGAGATTACTGTCTGGCATGGTGGCTATAAAAGCAAATATCACAATGATGGTCTTGGCCAAAATGCATGAGATACAGAGAGCGAAAACCATTCCAAAAGCAATCTGACGCAGC